TATATATTTATATATTTATATATTTATATATTTATATATTTATATATTTATATATTTATATATTTATATATTTATATATTTAATATTGAAAAATATAGTGAAAATTCTTGATTTAAAGTTTTTATAAATAGATTATGATATTTTTAGTGAATTTAAATTAAAAAATAAAAGGTAGATATAGTTTTAGTTATATTATTTTATTTTTATATTTTAATTTAAATTAAAAAAATAGTTTTTTACCCACCCGCAATCGCCCGCAAACGCAAACGCTAGCTGAAACCAGCTTTTGATTTTAAGAGGTTGGAAGCGGTTTGAAGTGATTTGTAGCGGTTTTTGTGATTGTTGCAAAACGCTAGCAACCGCCATCAACCGCAAAAGCTGCGTTTGCGGGTGGTAGCGGGGAAACCAGTCGGACCCTTAATCTAACTGTTTAAAGAGATGAAAGGCGATTATACAGTTTTGTTTTTCCTTTTGATCCTTTTATTTCTATTTATTTACCACACTCTCTTCATTCCATTTATTTAAGGTTTTCTCTATTTTTAAGGTTTAGAGAATCTCATCATTTGTGGTTGATGTGGTTTTAATTAGGCATGCCATTCCGGTCTTAATCGAATTTTGATTTTTCGGATTTATCAAAATAAACTCCATTCGGGTTATATGAAAATTCTGTTTAAGTCCGGTTTCAGATTCTATTGGATTCGGATCGAAGTTAGTACTAAATATTTTAAAAACCCCGTATATTTTCGGGTTTGGGTACCAATCAGTTCTTCAGTTTAAAAATATATGATTTTTGCCTATTTTGTAACCAAAACATAAGTAAAATTGCTTCTTTGGTTTTAAAGTACATGACTTATACATATTTTGTAATTAAAAGATAAGTAAAATCGATTCAAAAATAAGAAAAGAGCATCAAACGTGATCATCAACCTTAATGTAAAAGATAATTATATTGGATGTTCAATAATATATTAGTGTATTTAGGATATATATTAAGACTTGAGATCATATTTGGTACAAGTTTTTTATGGAATTTTGAATGTTTCGTATTTTATCGGATATTCATTTAACTTCGGATTCAGTTCGGATAATACTCCTAATTCAAAATACTGTAAAGCAAGATTCATTGGATATTTATGTCGGGGCAGATCGATTAGGATTCATTTTTATTGGATCGTGTTCGATTAGATTTTTTGGGTTCAATTTATTTGCCTAGCCATAGTTTTAATACACCAAAATCTGATAATTATTGGTTGATCTCCAAAACTAATTTATCATTTTATTATAAATTCTAAAATCGTTTCTATTTTTCATTTTTGTAGAAAACTACTGATAGTTTTTCTGCATTACAGTAACCACCTTATTATATTAATCTATATAAATGTTTTCTTATATTATGCTAAAGATGTTTTATAGGTTTGCTTTCATTAATCTGTAATAAATAGCACTTTCTGAGATCCAAACTCTATTTTTCTAATTCAGAAACTTTAATAAAACTATTAAACTTAGAAGATTTCTGCAATTGATTTCGTCTATGTAATTACACTAGTAATTGCAAGTATTTTACTGGTAAATGCTACAAGGTGTAACTATTTAAAGTTACGGAGGGTCATAGTTTAACTATTTACAAACTGAGGGAGGAAATTTTAATTACATGGAAAATTTTCAATGATGAGGTTACTGTTTGAAGTCGAAAACGGCTCGGCCAAGTCCGACGTGGAAGACATTAACTGGGTGGATAAAGTGATTATGTCACGTCTTAATATAAAATATACAGGTTATAATTAAAATAAATAGAATCGTTCCCGACAAAGCAAAACTTCTACGCACGACTATCTACTCGTCCCTCCCTTCACACGTATGAAGTCGCCGGCAAGAGAAGAAGTATCCGGACGGTTACGCGTTCCGTTTTCTCATATAAATAGAATTCGCATTTTGGTTTCTCACACCAAAACAATTTCTTTATTTATTTTCTTTTCGTTTCAAATTCTTCCGTGGCTGATAAAAGAGACACTCTTCCGTTACATCAGAGTAGTAAGCCGTTTTTCGCAATGTCGGTGAGTTTTCATAGCAAGAGTTTTCGTTCTTGTCATGAATTTGTATGATTGTGATCGCCTGATGCGATTAGATTTGTTGAAATTGTCCAAATCAACGTTGAAAATCGCTAACTTTTTGAAAATGTAGTATTACAAGAAATGATTAGTATTTTATGAAACTATTTAATCTTTGGAGTTAAATACTTGCAGAACAAGCAATGCAAAGATGCTTCATAAGCTGTTAAATTCGTTGACATTAGCAATAACACCTTTAGACTGTTCTGTTATGTTTGAAAAGGAAAATTTCATTGTTTCTATTTGCAGATGGTAACTGTCAAAGTTGGCAACGTTTCTCTAGGAGCTACAGAACGAGAACTCAAAGAATTCTTCTCTTTTTCCGGCGACATTATTTACCTAGAGATGCAAAGGTCGGTTATTTTTAAACTTTTTTACTACACTTAATTCGAATAAATTCTTCTGTGTTCTTACAGATTCCTAAAACATTGTTTTTGGAATTGGTTTCTACAGTGAGAATGAAGGAAGTTCTAAGCTAGCATATGTTACATTCAAAGATTTACAAGGAGCTGAAACCGCAGTTCTCCTCACTGTAAACTTCTCTTTTCTTTCCGGGGCGGACCCGGAAAATAATTTAACATGGGACACAATATATTATATTTTTATATTTTTATTATAATATATATATATTTTAAAAAAAATTGAATTATATAATATATTATAATTTTACAGAAATATATATTTTAAAAATATTTGATAAAATTGAATCAAGTAATAAGATAATCAGATCTTTGTTATTTAAATACTTTTTACTGGCTATTTTAATATAAATATTAAAAATAAATTTCATAAATATAAATGTTAAACTGAAACTTAAATAAAAATAATTTATATTTTTGAAAAGGTAAAACAAATATTAAAGTAAGGAAGAAAAGCATTTTTTTCTATTAGATAGCAAAAAACAAAAAAAGAAAGGTTAACTTATTTTATAAGGATGTAAACCTCTAAGTTCCAGACCGCTCTGTTTTAAAACATCGATTTTGCTTGCAGGGAGCGACAATTGTTGATTCCTCGGTCACCGTCACAATGTCACCAGATTACCAACTACCCCCTGAAGCTTTAGCTTCCACTGTAAGCTCCTTAAATCTCATTTCTTGAACCACAAAAACTCCTTGTGTGATTGACTTTCAGTTTTTGTCTCCTTAGGAATCATCATTGAAAGAGAGCGACAAGTCTTCATCTCCTCCAAAGGAAGATGTATCAGTATTCAGAAAAGCTGAAGATGTCGTACGCAATATGATTTCAAAAGGGTTTATTCTTGGGAAAGACGCAATAGCTAAAGCAAAAAGCCTTGATGAGAAGCATCAGCTAAGATCAACAGCTTCAGCTAAAGTCACATCTTTCGACAAGAGAATCGGATTCACTGAGAAAATCAACACCGGGACAACTGCTGTGAGCGAGAAAGTCAAAGAAGTTGATCAGAAGTTTCAAGTCACAGAGAAAACCAAATCAGCAATGGCTGCAGCCGAGCAAACAGTGAGCAATGCTGGCTCGACTATAATGAAAAACCGGTATGTTTTGACTGGTACCACGTGGGTTACTGGTGCGTTTGAAAAAGTGAGCAAAGCTGCAGAAGAAGTTGGACAAAAGGCGAAGGAGAAAGTTGGAATGACTCAGGAAGATGAAGTGAAGAAGAAAGTGGTTGATGAAGTAGCTAGAGATCATTTGTCTGAATCACCAAAGGGGTTAGACCAACCAGAACACGATTCAAAACTCTCTGAATCGCAACCACTTAAACAGGAGGAGTCTACTCCAAGTGTTGCTTCGGGACACCCTTGAGATACATGTAAGAATCTTTCTCCCAACTTTTTGGGAACATAGCGGAGATGGCTTCTTTGTTCCAATAACATTGTTGTTGTTTATCTTCTTTCTTCTTGTTTATCACTTCCAAATACTGGTGAGTTTTCCTGAAAGTTAAGCCTTATTTTTTGTTGTTGCTAAGGGTATTAAAAATGACGTTCTTGTTTATCCATAAAATACTAGATGTCCTTTGGTAACGTTTAAAATAGTCGCTTGAAATTGCAAACCTTTTGTTTCTTTGTCATCAAGTTAGGCATTAGATTAGGGAAGTATGTTACAATATCAAGAGGAGAATCTTCGCTGGCCGAGTCTACTAAATTGTTATTATTATGTTAGTTGTTCTACTGACATGTATGTCGGCGAAGGAGGAAGAGGCTAGTTTCATAACATCTTTAATTCATCGGGCAGGAATGTAGGATAAGTGAGATGACACCAAGTAGGCTTCGATTGATGTTAGAGCAACTCATAAGTATTTCACACAAAATTTAATATATATAAAAAAGTAACTAGATCATAATCCGCCCGACTGGGCGGGTCTTTGTTTTTAAGGTATATATAAATATTTTTAAAATTATAATCTTACGGTTCCAATTTTACTAAGTAATAGTATGTTGTTTAAACATTGTATTTCATCACTGAATTGTGTAACAGGACGTCGGTAAAATGTTGTGACCCGTAAATATTTTAGTAATATTTTATAAAGTTTTTTGACTAAATTTGGTGAAAAATTATATACACTAAACAATTTAGTCAAAATTTTAAGTTCATTTTTAATGAAGAATTGGAATGCTAGTATATTACTGTTAAAAACTTTTAACAATAGTCAATATAAATTATATAAATAAAATATATATTATTCTTGATTTATTCTACATACATTTAAAACACGAGTACATATATGTATACATAATTTTCAGAAATAAAATAATATCAAGGATAGAAAACCCAAAAACAATAATAATGGTACTTTGGGCCGCAGTAATTTTTAGTTTAATAAGTAAGCCCATTAGATTTGTAGGCTATCCTTGTTTTCAATCATCTTAATTTTAAATACTTACTATTCATGTTTCCAAACAATTAATTTTTGTACTTCAGCTTTAATAGTATAGATTAGTGATAGAAAGAGAGAGAAACAAGCTATTCAGAATCTCAACTATCAAGTGTTCGTTTGAGTTCTTCTTTTTAAGTGGACTGATGATTGGTTTCGGGGAAAAACAAACCTTAGTTTTTATGTCCATTTTTGATGTGTAGTGATATGAGTCCAAGTTCCAACATCTTGATAAGTAGATGTCTATGGTGAATCTACAATAGAATCATAGTTTTTTTTATCCAGCATAAGATCTTCATATAAGATTCGGAGACAGTTTGTAATTTGAGATTGTAAAGAAGCTTAAGAATTGAATCTTTGGTGGTGAATCCTCTACACTGAAAGTATCCTTCCAATTTATCATTTTAATAAAATGAGGATATGCCATTTCTTTTTCTTTTAAAAGATATTTATCATTTTTCATATCCTCTAATAAAATGAAACATATCTTTTATATTAAAACAGAAGTCATGACTTGATTTCATGTGTGATTTTTTAAAAAATGGACTATTACTAGAAAGTTATGTTACATTAACTCTCTAATAATATTATCATTATTATATCTTATAATATGCTTAACAATTTTGTTTTGGTAAATTATCCCACACCTTCCAACTTAGTCACGCAAAATATGTCAATAGATATAAATTTNCTCTAATAATATTATCATTATTATATCTTATAATATGCTTAACAATTTTGTTTTGGTAAATTATCCCACACCTTCCAACTTAGTCACGCAAAATATGTCAATAGATATAAATTTAGGAATCTTCTATTATTTATAAGGAAATATGTCAATAATAGTTAAATGCATCCAGAATATATTAACAAAAATCACAGATTATTAAAATGTAATATTTATATACCTTAACAAAAATTACACGTTATATATATTAGATAAATTTATTTCGATGAAATTTTTAAAAATTGTATTGTTTAAAAAAAAGAAATTGTTTAAAAAATTCCTTTTTAATAAACTTTTTATAATATTAATTTATGAAGCTATAAGTTTAGTTTTTAGCAAAAATTTCTTCGAAGTTTATATTATATTTGCAAATTAAATTACACTAATATTTAATCAAGCTCTATTTATATTACTTTATCTAAAAATGAAATACTAATCTAACAAACAATAAAATATAGGAGAAAAAACAAACACATTTTTGAAAGTCATGTATAATATAGAAAATTTGAAACAATCTATTTGATTAAAACATTTATTATATAATATTATTATGCTTGAAAAAAATTTACTATACATATCCTAAATATGTGATTACTATAATATATACCAATTTACAAGTGAAAACAAAATGTTTATATAACTATAAACAAAAACAAACACCCGCGCGGTTGCGCGGGTCAAAATCTAGTCTTATATATTAAAACAGAAGTCATGACTTGATTTCATGTGTGATTTTTTTAAAAATGAACTATTACTAGAAAGTTATGTTACATTAACTCTCTAATAATATTATCATTATTATATCTTATAATACGCTTAATAATTTGGTTTTGGTAAATTAACCCACACCTTCCAATTTAGTCACATAAAATATGTCAATAGATATAAGTTTAGGAATCTTCTATTATTATAAGGAAATATGTCAATAATAGTTAAATGCATCCACAATATATTAACAAAAATCACAGATTAGTAATATGAAATATTTATATACTCTAACAAAATTTACACGCTATATATATTAGATAAATTTATTTCGATGTAAATGTTTAAAATTATATTGTTTTAAAAAATTTGTTTAAAAAATTCATTTTTAATAAAATTCTTTATAATATTAATTTATGAAGCTATAAGTTTATTTTTTAGCAAAAAGTTCTTCGAAATTTATATTATCTTTGCAAATTAAAATACACTAATATTTAATCAAGCTTTATTTATATTATTTTATCTAAAAATTAAATACTAATCTAACAAAGAATAAAATATAGAAGAAGAAACAAACATATGTTTGAAAAACATGTATAATATAGAAAATTTGAAACAATCTATTTGATTAATACACTTATTATATAATATTGTTATATTTGAAAAACATTTACTATACATATCGTAAATATGTGATTAGTATAATATATACCAATTTACAAGTGAAAACAAAATGTTTATATAACTAACTATAAACGAAAACAAACACCCGCGCGGTTGCACGGGTCAAATTCTAGTACTGGTTAAACACAATAATGGTTTTGTTGAAGAAATTGTGAAATATATGCGGTAGATTTCAGAGAGGAGAGTCATCACATTATGCGGTAGATTTTCCTCTCTTTTTTTTTTTTTTTTTCCCAGTTTTCAGTCGGTCAATTTGTTTGGGTAATAAGAATTTGTTGGTACTTACTAATTTTTCTTCTTTATCTTTTGTATAGTTCCAGTTTCACATATCTTGTAAAGAGAAATTAACTTCACATGTTTTGTGAAGATAATGCAAATATTTGTTACTTGATGTAGCTGTAAAAATCAATTCAAAACATATAATAATTAATTATAAATATGAAAGAGATATAGTGATTGCTCAAAAAAGATGAAAGAGATAAGGTTATATTAAAACACATAATTATAATAGATGTTTTATTCACTAGTAGATCTTTTGAAATTATAATATTATTTCTTAAATATTGGTTTTTATATTCTTAGAAATATATTAAAATGTAACTAGATTTTGAACCCGCACATCCGTGCGGGTATTTTTTCATTTTATAAAATATAACAAAACCTTTCAAATATACATGATTTACATTCTATTGTTATATATTGTATAATTGTATAATCTTATAATTTTAATTATTTTTATATTATATATTGTTGTAAGTTTTAAAATAAAAAAATATTCATAGATAAGTTTTTATATAATTTATTTGTTGTGAGTTACAAAAATATATGTTAACATTTTTTTTGTATATAAATATTATATGATTTAAAAACTTTAATATGTTTTAAAAGTGAGTGATATTTATTTATTTATTTGAATAAAAGAAATTTTTTAAAATAAAATATTTTCTTTTACCAATTTAATATATTTTATATTCATTTCACATAGCATTTTATTTTAATATAATATAGAATATAACTAAATTATAAAATATAACAATTTTTATTTTTAATTAACATTAATATAGATATTTCTATATATTAATCAGAAAATTAAATAATGCATATTTTATAAAAATATTTCAACTTTTAAATAAGATTTTGTTAGATATTTTCTCAACAAATTTATTACTAATATCTTATTAATTATTAAAATATTCCTCCAATTGTATATATTTGAATGATTAATATAAATAATTAAATATATCATATTAATGAGATGGTCCAACATGACTTTTTTGTAGTAGATATAAATGGTATTTCTCTTTTAATAGAGGAGATCCATGATCATTAATACTCCATATGTAGATTAAAAATGTAATTCATGGTAAAAGATCACTCAGACTTCTTGTATAAGAAAATAATCATAAAATTTATGGTAAATAGTTCAAATCCAATGTACCCTCATACTTCAAAATCATATATAACTAAAGAAAATTTTGCTATGGTTCTCAAACAAATTGAATATAGAAACCAAGTTATAGAGATGAACTCAAACAAAGCAACCTTGTTCTTGGTCTTGTTCCTTGTATCTGCCTTCTGTGAGTCCTAATTTAAATATATAATCTCTCATTATGCTTATATCAATATGTATCCACATGAAGACACACACAAATGTTTGAGTAGATTGCATATATTCATATTTGATATAGGTGATTTTCATGTATCTTAAATGGGGGTGGGGGTTATAAATAGATTAGCCTGTAAACTTTTCTGTTGTTTCAAGCAAATGCTATTTTCCATTTAGTTTGAAATAAGATTAAGTCTTAGACTAAAGAAACTGATCTGGATTCAATTCGTTGCGATTAGTTTTAGATCAGAATCAAATATATTAAATAGAATTAGATGTTGTACTATTCGTTATATATAATTGTATACATTTTAAGGGGGGAGGGAGTGGGGTTTCATGTCATCTATACTATTAAAGATGAAGTACAAAAATAAAGTGTTTGGAAACATGAATAAGAAAATTTTAAAATTTTGATTGGAAACATGGATATCATACAAATTTA